TTTAAGGCGGCTTGGCTGTCTGATAAAATAAAGACGTTTGCCCTAAGAGTGTCTCGGTTGAGACATTCTTGGGCACTTATGTCTATGGCATGTATTTCTGCCTGGAAGATAGTTGGGGCGTTTCCAAGAGATTTAGATAGCCTGAAATTGGGCCCAGTAACTCCCACTCCTGCCCTTTCATCTATCTTAGATCCATCCGTATACCATACGAGTGAACCCTCTTCCACTTTTGGCTCAATTTCTTCACCCATTTGGTGGTTTTTTATGACCACTTCAAAGGGTGTTTCAAAGTCGAATTTGACTGGCATAGCATCTGTCGGCATGTCCTTAGAATCCAATGGAATTTCTTCCACGATTTTCAGGTGGCCAACTAGATCTCCAGGTTTCATTATTTGTGTCTGTCGCAGTTTTAAGGCGGTAGTTACTGTCTCCCTCCTTATGCAGAACTGCAAGGGAGGAAGGTTCAGCATCGCCTCTAGAACTGCAGTGGGGCATGTTGACATTGCCCCTGTGATTCCCAGACAAGCTAGCTAAAGGAGTTCTCAGAGTTGTGAGTCCCAGACAAGTTCTAGCTAAATGGAATCAGGAAATTGGATTAAATATTTAAAGGGAATACTGTCTCAAGTGGAAACACAAATGTGGATTAAAGTTTTATACAGTTAAATTACTAAGATGTTTTAAGATATTTTCTTCCAGGCATAGGAAAAGCCACTGTTAACAGCAAAACGAAAACAAACCAGGCTCATTTGGGTAAAATCTAAACTTTCTGGGTCGGTAGAAGATTGGTCCCGAGTAATTTTTAGTGAAGAATGAAAATTCAACGCATACTTTGACGATTACTGCAACTGAGTTATTCGCACTAAGCATGAGGTTTTTCACTGTTTGAAACAGACCTTAAAATTTCTTAACTTAATGATTTGGGGTTGTATGGGATTGTATAGTTTGAGTTAGGAGGATATTTTTAATTTATTAAGGGAACCGTCATCATCATCCAGCCTTCTACGTCCAAAGTTGAACATAGACCTGCCCCTAATTTCTTTAAATTTTGTCGGCCTTAAGCTTTTTGTTGCAAATTCCCAGCGATTCGTTTGAAGTCGACGTCGTATGTCAATCGACTTCAGCCATGCTATGATCTCTGTGACATCTGTGACGCCTGTCCTTCGTATTTCTTCGTTTCTAATCCTGTCTCTAAGAGTCAGTCCAAGTACCGAGTGTTCCATTCTTCTTTGAGTTACTTTCAGTTTGGTTGCTGTAGCCTGGGTTTACGTTTCAGTGCCGTAAAACATGACTGGAAGTACACATTGGTCGAACGTCTTCTTTCTCAAATAATTTGGCATGTTGCTCTTGAAGATGTCTGATAAAATTCCATATGCGGCCCATGCTAAAGTGATTCTTCTTTGGAGTTCAGCAGTTTGGTACCGTAGTAGAGTATTGTAAAATTAAATGTTGGCGGGAATTAAATTCTTTAGTAGCACGAAGCTGACTATCATAATGTCAGAATCACAAACACCTGCTGGTTTGAAAACCACAATATAAATGTATCGGCATTAAATTAGTAATATGTAGTGGTTTTTTACGTATCTGGGGATATCCACTAATTGGGGACTATCAGTTGACACATCTCGACTTTAAGTGACGATTTGTATTTTACTTGTAAGTAGGTATAGTATAACAAATGTTTAGGTTTTAGTCCGTCCACATTTAACTATGAACAACTTGTAAGCAAAGGGAAAGATAAACTGATCGAGGATTTGTTGGGATAGACCTGTTATCATCCGTGTATGATTAAAATCAAGATAATGATGATTATCGATTAGGAAGCTAATTATTTCATTCGTGCATAATCTGATGCATGCGTTTCTTCAGCAACTTTTAATAATAACTTTTACTTAATTTGGAACAATGTTATACCAACTTAGAAGATGAAAACTTTAACTGAATGCTCGAAGAATAATACGCAAGATAGTCACACTCATGTATGTGAAAATTTTAGTTATAATTTTGTTTTTAAATATATGTAAACAGTTAAGCTCAAGTAGAAATTATAAATGTTCATAAATAAAATGACTCAAAGACACGAGTTGAATGTGAATAAATGGAAGTATTCATAGACGTAAAAAATTAGCAACTTTCAGGGCTCCATGATAATCCTACTCCGAACCTGGTGGCTGGCGGCGGCAGACATATTTGTATTGGCACAGGTAAAGGTCAACACTGTAAAGCTTATCGAGGGGGAGAGGAGAAGCTATTTAATATTTCGAAAAGACTCATATTGCGCAATCGTGGCAAATTGAACGATTAGCGGCAACGTTAACATTAGTAGAGAGTTTTTAAGCCCCTTATTTCAGTAACGTTAAACGTTATACGTTATTCTGCTCATGCGCATTAACAGAAAAATAACGGATTACTTTATTAGAGGATAAGGTATTCCCTTATTTAGGTAAAGATAAGGTTAACGTTATTAAGGGATTACGTGTTTGTAATGTTGTCAAATGCCAGATATATAAATCATAAAAAACAAAAAAGAGTCATATGAGCAGCTCTCTTTCCTTGTCTAAGAGCAGAACCAAAATTAACTATGATAGAATGAAAAAAAATAGAAAATTTAGTTCAGCATCTTTCTCTTCAGTTGTTTCCAACACAAAATGTAGTCTTGGTGCAACAGGTATTACAGGATCAAAAATATTGTGAATAATTAAGCCTCTTATCAAATTGTAATCTATTACTTCTCTGTCTTCGTCATCTATTTTCTTAGATTATAGCAAATTATTTAAATAAAATAGGTTATAGAGTATTCACGATTGAAAACAAAGTATCTGACCCTTGGCGGAATAAATTTAAACTACTATAAATGGTATAAACAAACCAGACAGCTGTTGATTTGAATAGAATTATTAAATTTTTTTAGTAAATTTCAACATTATGACTAAATGACAAAAATCAATAACCCTGCTATGACACAAATTGGAATGGACAGAATCCAAAGAAGAAATATACAGATATTTACATCACAATATTTTAAACTGTATTTAACATTGTTGTAGGAAGAAATGTAGGAAAATTGTAGTAAAAATCATCCAAGTACATCAGCAACGTATTCCAGTATATATTTTTGTCCAGATTTATCTGAAATTAAACCATTTGGTTGTCTGATGAATGATTGTATTGGTCACTATATTTTGTAAATAAAAGATTTATTTTCTTTCAATAATCTATTATTAATAAAAAAACTACCTTGTGAATGCCTTCGTTTTTATTTAGGTAAAACATAAAGATCATTAAATGTTAAAATAAGTGAACAACAAATGTATAATATTAAAAAGTCAGTTCCAAACACTGAAGTTAAAATTTAAGAATTCATCACTTGAAAACTGCTTCCCTTTCAACCAATGGCCTCTGCTTCACCACCACAATACACAAAGATATCATTTAGGCTAATTTCCTTTTTTAAATGATAAAAATAACTCGTCTTAAACCAAACTAAACTTTGAAAAGCAATGGTAAACATTCGACTGTCATGTTTGTTTATACCATTTATATCGACCTGTAACTGCCGTTTTATAGGTTACGTTCGTCAAATGTCAATTAACGATAATCTGTCATAGCTTAATTTCCGAAAGGATTCAAAAACTATTTTAAGTAAAAACGTTATCCCTTATTTATTATTCAAGGCGCATGACAAGTATAACGTTTTACGTTTAACGTCCATTGAAAAATAAAGGGCCTAAAAACTCTCTAGTAACTACTATTTACACCTTAACAACTGGACAAAATTAAGGCGACGTTAACATGTTTTGTACACATTCGAAGATATTGATAACTTACACGAGTAATTAACTGTGTTAAAAAGAGACATTTTCCGCGACACTTCAACCACATGTTGCTTTTGCTTTTAATCGTATACGTCAATTACAATTATTGTTTGGCAACAACTAATCTAAAACCCATGAAAAAACTGCTTTTTAAAACAAGTTATTGGGTTTATTTTGTGATAGTTGTATCAAAAACGATTGTTTCAAAATGTATCGATGTTGGAAGTAGAACTAAGATGAAAGGGACCTGTCTAAGGACCCAAAAAAATGTAAGATTATCTTAATAAACAGGCAGGAGATAATAAAGTGTCTCTAATATGAGTGCAAGTTCTCGGAAACGAACTGGCAGTCTTGTTGGGAAAGCAAGAATCTTTAAAGGATTTTTGAGGGACCAGAATCATTCTGCGGAAATAAAAAACATGCAGTTAGAAATTAAATTACTTTCAGTTTATAGGAAAACCAAAACTCAAAAGTGGCTGAAAAACAATCATGGCAAAAAAGCAAGAGGAGAGCATTGATAAAGCACGACTCTTGGAAAGCCCAGAATCATTCTGCGGTATAAAAAAAGCATGCATTATTAACCCTGGAAGCTCACACTTGATTGTGAGAGTGAGATACCCATCCAGACACTTAACTCAATATTCAATGTATCATGCGCAACCGCATTTCAGTGGTAAATGCCGCTTCATGTAAATTCAGTCTGTAGTCTGCCAAGGACAATATTTTTTTTATAATGATTTTTTGGAGTTGGAAAGAAAACTGGGAAAACGTTGTCCGTTGACCCAAGCTGAAGTGGAAAGAAAAGCTGAAAATTCATTTACTAATGAAAACGAGGATGATGATCAAAATATCTTTGGTATCGATTTTGAATCAGGAGAATTATGCCGAAGAACAAATCTCCAATACCAATACTGATGAAAGTGATAGTGAAACAGATCATGAACCAGTTAGAAATGTTGCCAGGTTACTTGGATTAAGACGATGACCACTATGAATTTTTTTAACATGTTTATTACAACAATATACAACATAACAAAATTGCTGGATTTCATTAACACAGGACTTATTGGTGAAGTTAGGGATACTGAAGGTATGGTTAAACGTTTTAATGAAATAGAACATATTATATCACCTTCGATAAACAGGATAAAGGCACAAATAATAAACAAATAAAAAGAATTCCAGTGATTAGTCAGGTATTACAGGCTCCTAAAATTACAAAAGCAAAGAAATATTAAAATAAACAAACGAAAAAAAATGTTCACAAGTTCAAAAGAGCTAACAATGGTCATGTATGTTTCTAGCTTCCAGCGTGTTCTATCATTCCAGTTCTCTGGTTTCTGTTTATTGTTCTTCTGGGATGTCCTCTTCTGCTTTGCTGCTTTGTGTTGGTACCCATGCTGGTAGCATCATTTTTGTCGGCCATTTGTCTACGGCATACGTAGTCACGGCACCTTAAATTATTGGTTTCTGTAATGTCGGTTATAGTGATTTGATTCACTACGAAGTGAAGAAATGTTAAGAAGAGGAAAAGATGAGATGATGGGAAACCCAAACATCTTGGCTGCTAAAGTAACAAAATATCTGCTTATAAGCTAGTCCATTGACGAAGGTTTCGGAGCCATGAGTATTTCTTCCTACCAATTCCTCTTTTTTCCTCGATCTTTCCTCTCATATGCCCCAGATATTCAAATATTCAAGGAAAACGATGTATAAGGGCTTTTAATAATTATGTAAGACAATATTCTGAATAATTAGTTTAAACTATTCAATTTTTGACACAATATTTTTGAATAGGTATATTCTTTACAATGAATTAACACAGTATGTGATAATTCATCATGCTCTCCAAATTGCTATCTTGTTTTTTATCATAGAATGCGTCTACTAAGCATTTTTTTAATTTATCATCACGTCTTTCGCCGAGCGATATCTCTGAAGCCTAATAACTATAACAAAAACCCATATTCTGCATTATTCTACCAGCAGATAATGATTATGATTCATGAAGATATTATGTATTTCACAGTAGACATTTTAATGACTTTAGCGGTCTTCAGTTAAACAGGAAGTGTTTTTGGCATACAAATAAACAAATATCCGTTATAGGTTACATATTACTCCAGTCTTAATAAAAATTAAATCTTTACATGGCTACGTTTGACATAACAATACACAAATTCGCTTTTTATTATACATTAAGTAATACTGTAACAAGATACGTGTTAATATAAATTTAATCTTTACGCGGTTCTAAAATTGTAGAATACCTGTAAAAACTTCATACTGTATTAGCCGATGTAACAAGTCATCTATCTTTCGTAAGCCAACTTAGTTACTGTAAATCTTTCGAAATAACATCGACCTGTTTTTCTAAAGAATTTCGTAAAAGATTATAGTGTGCTAGGTCGTTTTGCTTCGATGAGTACTCGAACTGATTGGCGGTTTGGAGGCTCCCCGCTTTTCCTCCAACGAACTAAAATATCTACTAACGGAGTTCACGAAATGTGAGGAAGTTGTATTCGTTTAGAAAATATTAATAAGAACTTACAGATTGTGTTCTCGATTAATTTTTCTATCGTCGTATTGATAATAATAATACTCACAAATTACTGAACTTACCGCCGAGTTCTGTTTTTCTTACTGAATTACATTTAGAGTATTTATTAATTAATAGTATTTGGTTAAAGGTTTTATCTTGTAGCTTTTTTGACAAGAAAATTTTGTAAGCATAAGCAATCGGTTTTGAGAAAGTTCTAAGTTTAAAGTTAGAACCTTAAATTAGTTCTCAAGGTGTAAGATTTGAAATAGGCTATCTGTACGATTATTGTGGATTTTTTAAATAATCAAAGAAAAAGTTCTAACTGTTTCCTGGGATTATTTAGTTTGTTTTTTTAAACCATGAAATTTCGAAAAATAAGTATAATAATATTGAATTATTCGAAGGGGAATGCACAAACGTAAGTAAATAAGGTAATTTTTCTTTTTCAATCCTCTTCCATAATTTGCGTCTAAATCTTGTTAGATCTGCATTCGTAGAAAGAAGAAACTTTTGTAAGAAGAAACTTAATTTCTGGGACCCAGGCTGCTGCGGACTCCCATATCTGCTAGAATCAGCAGCGGCTCCAAAGCTGTGTTCTTCGCTCTTCTTGCCGTTGCGAATCCTTTAGAAACTTTGTGACCCCGCCAATTAAAGCAAATATAGGTGCCGCCTGAGTCTACAGTGGCCGGTAAGCATGCTGACCACCAGAGAGAGCAGTTTCTACGGTCTAGAGGGAGAAGTTGGCCAGCGAGACTTTTGGATTGCCCCATCATGTAGAACCTAGACTATCTCAGACCTCCGTAACTGGCCTATAGACTAGGCGGCATCTGTAGAAATTCAGACCATAATGGAAATTTTCGAGGGAAGCTATTTTTTTGCTGGAATCACTTCAGGATATGCCCAGTATCGATAATTACGATATGCGCCAGTCGAAAACCCTGTGCTAAATTTTTTATTTAACAAAATCTAAAAAAAAATTAAAAATTTCTCATTTTTTTGCTCCTATTTTCATTTATAATTCGAAAAATATTGATCTTAGAGAAAAAATTATAAGTGGTGTTTCGTTAAATTTTACACAATATTTTGTTAGCTAGAAATTGAAAATTTAATGGTTATTGTTGAAAAAATAGCAATAATTGGAAAAAAAGTACAAAAAATGAAGTTAATCCTGTAAATGTTTTCGACTTTTTAAACTTGACTTACAAATTCCATATTCCGCCTAGAAAAACTTTTTAATATGTTTAAAACGTGTGCTAAATTTTGTTAAGATCGGTCGGATAGGTTTTGCATAATAATTTTGCAATCCAACCTACTGGAAAAAAATCGCAAATTTTCAAATTCATAGTAGGCCCTAAATAAGGCCTTCAAATAGTTGCAATTTTTTTTACATATAAAGGAAGTCTCACACTTTCAAACGCTTTTTGTAAAATTCAAATCGGTTTACTAGGAAAGCCTATAATTTTTTTTTTAAATTATAAACATTTTTTAGGCTTATAAACAAATTAAATAACTTTACGAGCTTTAAACATATCAATTTCAAAATGTATACACTTAAAGAACATTAAAAGACGTTTCTTTTAAGAAACAAAAAGATACATTCAGCTTACTGGTTGCCGAGATATTGAAGGTCAAAGTTGGTATACATTTGCCGTGTAACCATAAGTGATAGAGGGCTCGTTTTTAAACAAATACCCTCGTCTTGCCAAATACTTTTTATATGAAAAGTTTTACGTAATGCGCTTCATGGCAATATCCATAAAAAAGACAAATAAAAAACCGTTTTCCGCGTAAAATGTCGCTCGGAATCCATGAGAGGTGGTGGTGAGGGACATTCACTTCAAATGTGAATCATGAAACTTTTAACTACTTATAATTTTTTCTCTAAGATCAATATTTTTCGAATTATAAATGAAAATAGGAGCAAAAAAAATGAGAAATTTTCAATTGTTTTCAGATTTTGTTAAATAAAAAATTTAGCACAGGGTTTGCGACTGGCGCATATCGTGATTATCGATACTGGGCATATCCTGAAGGGATTCCAGCAAAAAAATAGCTTCCCTCGAAAATTTCCAATCCAAAACAGATCCCGCCTAGACTACTAGGAGTCCTGGATCCTACGCAGAAGGAGCTCAATTACACACAAGAACCAGCTTAGAGCTGACTTTGACCACTTCCAAAGCCCTTAGCGCTGCTTGATTGTCAGCACAGATTTCTCCTGAGGATACACCACGATCGCAAAGATCTCGGTTTGAAAGCTCGTCCATTCTGAACCCAGGTGAACTCGCATTGACGGATCAGTGCTGTTTCTCGTTCCATCCACTCATCCCGGTCAGTAAATGACACCAAGAAGGAGGATGCGAACTCAAATTGAGAGGCCATGGTGCCTCTTCCAGAATTGACAGGGTTTTTCTATGTTCTATCCAGGACACACGTAGAATTCTTCTATAGATTTTTTGCAAGTTCATATTTCAGCTGCGTATCTAGCAATGGGAAAAATAAGAGCATTGACCAAACTGAGCTTAGTATTTCTTGATATTGTTCGATCAGTTAGCTGTAGCGGTTCAGGCCATTGCTAGTCTACTCTTGATTTGTGAGGAGCATTCGCGATGGTTGGTTATAAGAGAGCCCAAGTATACAAATTTTTCTACCACTTCGAAATTCTCCACTTGAATAATTCTCCAATAAAGACAGAACGAAAAAAATTCTAAAATTCTAAAAATTCATAGACTAACGGACTAAGTGATATAAGAGAAAAATATTTAGAATAAGGAAGTGCGTACGCTACCTTGATTGAATAGGAAATGTACAAAACAACTAAAGAAACAACTGAAGTTTAATGTTGATCCCATTGTATGCAGCATGTAGAGAAACTTAAGAGCAGTGTTCCCCAAACTTTCTAACATAGAGGACCGCTTTTGACAAAAACATTATTGTCTTATCATAGTCGGTTCATCCGCCATTTAATAACATTGTCGATTTAAGGGGAAGATCTCATATGGCATCAACATTTTATACAGTTGTTTAATAGAGAAAAATGTTTATAATTGCCCCGAGGGGTCTGGACCGACATTTTGGGAATCACTGCTTTAGACAAATGCCACAAACTAATAAAAATGTCTTCTTCTTAACGTACCCTATCAAGTCCCCTTGACGCTGGCGATTAACATGGCGAAACTGTCTCTGTCTCGAGCTATTCTAAAGAGTTGCTCAGCTTTCTTTATTACTGTCCACTCAATGATATTCTTCAACCAATAGGCCTGCTTTTTACCAATTCCTCTGCGTCCTTCGATTTTATCCATCATAATAACTTAAAGAATATTATATCGGTCTCCCCTTACTACGTGTAAAAATTTCTATGCTTATTAATCGTTTTACCCAACATTCTTGGATTCAGTTTTACTGAATCCAAGAATAAGATTTATACCTATTTTTTATTTAGGGGTTAACTTATTTTAGATGTTATTTAACAATGTGCAAATATTTATCGTTTGAACTTCTAAATATAGCCAACGTTTACAATGATGAATGGATTAACATATTTTTCATGACTTTCACTTGAAACGGGCAAGCACGTAAACTCTCTCCTTATTGATTTATTATATAAATTATAAAACCATCAACTACTTAGTGTAACGCTAAGTGAGGTAAAATTAATATAATTCACTTA